GCTGTATGAGTGAAGCAGAATTGCAGTAGCTCCAAAGAAATATGGGATGCACAAATTTAGAGGCATCTCCATTCCAGATGCTCTTGTGGCCAATTTGTGTCCAACCCATAGTAGAGCCTTTTAAGCTTGTATTGGTCTGATCAGCCACAGCCGTGACTTCAACATAGTAATGTTATTTTGGTCCTCTTTGAAAATGAAGGAAAACAACCAACCAATCTATGCAATAGTAAATACCAGATCCCTATTATTATAACATGCAATAAAATGTTAAAGTCACATAAGGAACTTATAACCCTCAGGAAAATTTTGAAAGCAAGACATTTTCTGTAGATCAGCTCTCAAGTTAAGAATGTTTTAATAGGTTTATATTGAAAGAGAATAAGTTATTGAATATTAACCCAGAAGTTCAAGTCCTACCATCAAGTCATGGCCATTGTTCACTATTTACTAATAACAAAGAGGGAACTAACTCCATGACCTCTTCTCCTTTGAGGTTTCTTAAGGAACATGGGAAATAAAGGGGTTTCAAAATTAAGTCCCGAAGGTCTCTTTCATAAAACTATTACAAATGCTAGAGCTTTATGGTAGCTTAGAAATAATTTAGTCCAATCCCTTCATTTGACAGAGGAGGAAATTTAGGACTATCTAAGCAAAAGTGACTTGCCTGCAGTCATATACCTGGAAAGTCATGGACCCAGAACTCAAACATGAGTATTTTATTCCCATTCTACTTCCCATTCCCTTATAATATGGACAACTCTTTTCCTCTTACAATAATTTGAATAATTCATCCCCATATCATACACCAGGAAAGGAGCATGTGATCCATCACCTAGAAGAGGATATCTATCTTTGCTAGAGACATAACTAGAGTAATGTCATCAGGGCTTTGTCCCAGGACACGTGCAGTCTTTCAGCAGCATAGAAACAACTGGGATGGGTACCTAGTTAGCAAGAGAAATTAGTTAATAAAAGAAGGAGAAGTGAGATGTACTCTTCCCCTACCCTCAAATGACAGCCAGACCCCAGGTACATTCTGGTGTGTTTCATACCCAAGTATATTTTCTGCAGCTTAACTTGGGTATAAAAATTGCTATTTATGGCCCTGCTTTTTGTCATCATCATAATTATCAAAAAAGCATTTCTTGACCAATCTAATGTCATATTACCATGTTTAAAGTCAGTGTGGTGCCGAGGAAATAATCCCATATTTAGTGTCAGAGTCATGGAATTCAGGTTTGAGTTCTGACTTATAAAACTTGAGACCCTGGCCAAGTCCCTTAACCTCTCTGAGCTTCAGTATCCTCTTCTGTAAAATTCAGATGACAACATTAGTATCATTTAGCTAAAACGTGGAGTTATCATCTGCTTGTCCCATTTTATAGATGAGGAAACTGAAGTTAAAAGAGGAAGTGTCTCTCTCGAGGTCTAGTAAATGACAGAGCTAGGGCTAGAATCCAGGTGGCCTACCTCCCAGTGCAGTTTTCTTTGTTCTTCAAAAACATCTTTTTCTTACTTTAGTAATATGTTTTATTTGGACAAAACAGATACTTCCCAACAACAACAACAAAAACAAATAATCCCCACCCCAACAAGGACATTTTTAGCCAAAAATGCCTAATTACATAGGCATAATAAAAGTACATGCTATTTTCTACTTTTGTAGCTTAATCATTGTCAACAGAAAGGAATAAGACCCATCTCACCTTCCCCTTATAGAATCCCTCACTTTTTTCAAGCCTCATTTCAAGTATCATCTTTTAAATAATAATTATTATTAGAGCTAGCATCTTTATGTAACATCAACTAGGTCCAGGCTTTTCAAATATCTCATTTTAATCTCATGACAACCCTGAGAAGTGTCATTATTAGTCTTATTTTACAGCTGAGGAAACTGAGGCAAACAGAGGTTACACGTCTGGGAACAAGCAATTAAAAAGTGTCACGTTTGAACTCAAGTCTTCCTGACTTCAAGCCCAATATTCTGTTATCCATTATATCACCCAGCTGCCTACAAGCAGGGAAGGGGAGGAAAGTCACTCAATCCCAACCCCAGTAAGGACGATTCGGTCTCAGGAGTCCTCCACCGCTGGATCTGACCACCATTTAACTCACTACAGATGAAATGCTTGCTTCTGAACTGGCTTGCTGTGCTTGTACACAGGCCCAAAGATGTGTCTGATTCTTTCAGCCAATCGCAAGACATTTCCTACATGGTATCACCTGTTTTCATCCAATGAACAAAGAATCTCACTTCTCCCAAATTGACTTGTTCAGATCTAGTTTATTTTTGATTGGCTGATTGATTCAGTGGAGTTGTCTGGACCTTCTATGATTAATTGGAGTGGGGGTAAATGTCTACCCTTACACTTAACATACATACATCTTGTCTTCCAGATTAGAATGGAAGATCTTTAAGAACAGAGACTGTTTCATTTTTTCTTTGTATTTCTGCTACTACCAAGGGCAGTGCCTGGCACACAGTAAATACTTGATAGATTATTGTTGATGGATTGAATTGTTCTGATTAGTCTCCCTTCCTCAGGTCATTAAAAGGATAAGGGGCAAGGCACTTAAAAGAAAAGAATAGAGTAGAATTGAACTGGTTCACCAAGGGTCAAGATGGGGAAGGGAGGAGACTATAGTCAGTAAAGGGGAGTATTGGGAAGGAACTGAGGGGTAAAGGGTTGGAAGGTTACAGTAAGGACAAATAACAGGTTTGGAGTGGTAAGATAGACATAAAGATGGAATGATAAAAGATTATGATTGGATAAGGGAATTTCAGAGTTCATAAACATTGAAGTGGAACAACATAGGTAATCGTTTGAGTAATGGTATGACTATCTCTACATGTAGCTAAGGTAGCATATAGTAATAAGTCATAGAAAGTGAATAAGTTGAGGAACTGGAGAGTTAGTGTGCTTGAGGAAGCATCAGTATAAGTGTTGAAATCATCTTGCATGAGGTCAAGAGCTGAGAAGGAAAAACTGCAACCCAGGCACTGAACTCATCAAGGAAAGCAAGAGGGGGTCTTGGAGGTCAGTAGATAACAGCCACCAACATCTTGATTGGATGATGACGACAGATGAGATGAACGTGAAAGGAGGAAAGGTTACTGAGTGATAATGGTAATAGGGAGTCTGGAAGTGGCAATGGGAAGCAAGGCGTATTCTAACTCCACCACATCAGTGAGCCCAGGGATATGAGACAAAGAGCCACCAGTACTGAAAGAGTGTCCAGGGTCATCAGGTGAGAGCTGGGTCTCAGGGAGACCCAAAAGATGAAAGAGCCGCGTCTCGGTGAGAGTCAGAAGGTGAAAAGGCAAAGGTTTACAGTGAAAGTAAACTTGTTACCTACAGAGCAGGCATTCCAGAGAGCATCGTGGAAGAGTAGATTTGGAGAGGGATGTTGGGGGAGGAAGGTTGGGATGAGAGAGGTGGGATCAAGAGTAGTCAACTCACCTCCTTTTCAGCTCAACAAACATTTCTTAGGTGCTTCCCTTTGCAAGGCAATGTGTCGGGCACAGGCACTACTAAGAAAAACCAAAGTGGTTCCTTCCTTCAAGGAGTTTACATTCTACTGACATTATTCTCCTATATGTTCTTGATGTTCTTTTATGACATAAACTACCATTGGTGAAGTACTTCAATGGACTTACACCTACCGCATGCTTTCTGGATCACCTGCGATTTTGGTTCTAAAATCATAGTATTGCATGAGTCATAGTTAATGGAAGAATACTATTGTTACACTGGAAAATATTGGAATCTAAAAATGGGTTTGTGTGGCAGTGAGCATCCTGAGATCAAAAGTTCAAAAATGAACCAGCTTAATCTCATCTTCTTATTTACTCCCAGGCCCAGTTCACTGCTTGCTGATATGTAGCACTTGTCCAAGATATATGTATGTATGGATACATATATACATATACATACATACGTGTGTGTGTATACATACACATACACATACATACACATATACTATAGTTGTCCTTTGTGCTTGAAGAGGATCAAAATGACATCACTATGTTGGGGTCAAGTTATAGTGCGTCTGACTGGCTGATCAGATCATATGAGCCTTTATGACAGGTTGGGCACAAATAGTCCATATTTGGAGTGGCAATGTCTCTAAATTTGTGCATGTCATGTTTCTTTTGAGCTACTGCAATTCTGCTTTGCTTATAAAGGTAGTGCCTTCTTTGATGCAGGCACTCCACGCTGGGCAGTCCTGTGTCCATGTTGCATAATTGATTCCAAAGTTCTTCAGAGAAACCTTGACAATGTCCTTGTCTTGCTTCTTCTGACCTCCATTCCAGTACCGCTTCTTCTGACCTCCATGGGAGAGTTTGCCTTGTGTGAGTTCCCCATAAAATAATCTTATAGGCAAATGTACCTTTGGCATTTGAGCAATGTGGCAAGCCCATCAAAGTTGTGCTCTCTGCAGTAGAGTTCGAATGCTTGGCAGTTCAGCTTGAGAAAGAACCTTAGTGTCCAGTACTTTATCTTGCCAGGCGATCTACAGAATCTTCCTAAGGTAATTCCAATAAAAATGATTCATTTTCTTGGCATTGCACTGGTATACCGCCCAGGTTTCACAGGCATACTACAATGAGGTCAGCATGATGGTTACATGGCCTAAATCAATATGATGTCCCATTCATTGCAGTGCCACACTTGGGCAATGGGTAGAGAGAGCAGATCTTCTATGCTAGGAAGAATGTTCTGGACAGTAATTATGTTATTGGCTGGTATGGTATTATGGTATTGGCTGGTAAAGGCAAGAAGATGGAATAGAGCAGACAGAGGTCAATGGTCCTGTCAACTTTTTCTGCTTTTTTTTTTTCTGGCCTCATACATTTATCTGCACTTCAATAAAGGAGGATTATGGAAACTGAGGAGAGCACTACTTATCTCCTCTAGGTAGAGTCTTCAAAATGGTTTGAGGGTTTAGGAATCTAAATGAAGTTAAAAGGAATTTTCTTACCCTAAGTCAAAGAGCTGGCTTGGTTCAAAAGAAAAGACAAATGTATTCCTGGCTCCTGCTGATTTCCTTTTAGGCTTTGATAGAATTCAAATAAAAGCAAGGCATTAGTATGTACGTGACATAAACCTGAGAATACCAATTTAGGAACAGAGGCTTGGAGAATGAAATGGATGGGTGTTTATCCACATAATTAAAAACCAAGGTGATTGATTCACAAGAAAAGACAGCCTTAAGTATGGAGCAATACTATCACTAAGCCTATGTCCCAAAGAAAGAGGAAAAGGACCCAAAATATGCATAACAGCTTTTTGTGTGTGTGTTTGTGGTTGCAAAGAATTGAAAACTAAGAGAGTTCCCATAAACAGTGACTGGCTGAATAAATTATGGCATATGAATATAATGCAATGCTATTGTACAAGAAGAGTGTGTGAATGAATAAAGCATTTATTAAGCACTTACTGGGTGCAAAGAGCTGTAATAAGCTCCCAGGATAAAATAGAAAAATAATACAGTCCTTGCTGGCAAGGAGTTCACATTCCAGTGGGGGAGACAACACATATGGAAGGTCAGATAGAAAGTTCCCATGGTGTTTAGAGTGCAGCAGCCTTTACCTGAAAGGTATTTCCACTGATGAAATCGTATCCATTTCTAATGTTGAATCGTTTGACACTGGGCTGGAAGCATTACTCCTCCAAAGGTTCCTGGTTTCTGGGTCCTGGGCTGTCTTCATCTGGGTTTGAGGGGAGAAGGTGGTCAAGATAGTAGTGGTTAGACCTCCCTGATTTATGCTGCCTCTCATCTCTCCCTCAGTGTGCCTTGCTACTTTAGCTAGACTAGCTTGACTGTCCTGTGAGAGGCCATTGATTGGTATTTGTTGGGGATGACCGGCCCTTCTCCACAGGAGTTGACTTCCCCAACAATAGCTATGAGGGTTGGGCTTAAAGCAATACCTGTGTGTGGTTGGAGGTGGGCGAGGGGATGAGGGGAAGCAGGAGGGGGTTTGCTGCTATTCCCAGAGCTCCTGAATTTAGCTGCCCTTTAGTGGCAGTTGGTTAGTAGCTGTTACTGGTAGTGAGGAAGAAATGGCCCTTCTCCACCATGATTTCTCCCTTTGGTGATGTTTGGGGGGGATGGTCTGCAAGCAGTTCTGGTGGCCCTGGGGTGACATTGTTATTCCCAAATCTCTTGGTTCAGGGTCCTGGGTTGTCTCCACCAAGGTCTAACAGGTCATGGTGGTTTGACTTATCAGACAAATGCTGTCCCCTGCCCCTCTCTCTGGGTGCTTCAGCCTTCCTATAAGAAATAACAAAGGGAATGACTTCAGAGAAACCTGATAAGACTGGAAGGAACAGATATAGTAGGAAATAAGTAGAACCCGGAGAACAATGTGTAAAATAACAACAGACAAACAAATTTGAAAGCCATGAAAACCCTCATCAATGCAATAACCAAGAATGATGATTGAAGCCTGTTACCTAACTTGTGGGATGTGATAGGCTCAGAACGCAGAATGGCGTATATTTTTGGACATGGACAATGTAGGATTTTTTTTTTCTGCTTGACTGTGTATTTGGAGCACTACTTGGTGGTCTAAACATGCATTGCAGTCCCCATCTTTATCCTGGAGCTGCTGCCTATATGCAGCCCTGGGGCCACCTGACTCAGAGTGAAGCAGAACCTCTAGAATTTAGGTAACAGGGTGAGTGTCTTCTGAGGTCTCTTTCAACTCTGACACTCTATGACACCAAAACCAACCCAGTTTTGACTATTTGACCTCACCTTGGGTGCAGAGATTGAATGCTGTAAAGAGAACCTTGGGTTGAAAACCACAATTTCAGAACAGCCTTTCTGAGAGAAACAGCTTCTCTGTCATCAGTTCTCCTAAAACATCAGGATAATTGAAGTAGTCATTAACCCAGACCTCTGCAACTTCAGAGCATATTTAAATGATAGGAAACTAGAAAGATGAAGACCAGAGGATGCAAAAAAAGACAGGGACCTCCTTCAGACGCATGGTCAGAAGAAGGTAGAAATGAATACAGGAGAACCCAAGAAAAGTCTACTATAAAGTGGGGAAAGAAAAGGCACCAATAACAAATAATGAGGCAACCAAAGAAGGCTGTTTTTGCTGTGAACAAGTGGTTACCCCTCTGAAGGTTTCCTGTGATGAAGCCCTCCACAATAACTGATGTGGCTGTTCAGCTATTGATTCAATCAGGAGAAATTCAAAAACCCTGAGAATAGCCCGACATGAAGATCTGAGGATGGGCTTTAAAGGTCAGTCCTATACTAACAATGATGGGAACCTCTTCATGCCTCTAACCACATTAGGCAAGTCACTTCTCTTCTATGGGCCTCAGCTTCCCCTTTCTGTAAAATGAAGGGGGTAGGGTAGGAGATCACTCAATTTCCTTAGAAATCTAAATCAATCACCCTGTGATCTCATAACTAGATAATTTTCTAGGGTCCCTTCCAATACTAAGTTCTAGAAGATGAGAAAGGCATTGGCTTGAGTCAGTAGACCTGAGTTTCAATCCTGATTTGACTATAAACCATATGACTTTTAGTAATTCACTTCTCTCTGAGACTCTGTTTCCCCAGCTCTAAAATGAAGGGGTTCAATTGGATGACCTCTAAAGTCCCTTCCAGCTCTAAAGCCCGTGAGCCTATGAATACGGTTCTGAAATTTCTCATAGCCATTTTCCATCAAAAGCTCATTTTGATTAATAGCATCACTGCTTACATACTCACTAAATTCCCAGTCACAACTTTGGAGCCACAGTGGCATTTCTCAAACTTTTTACAAACAGAAATCTCCAAATAGAGTATATCAAGTTCAAGTCACATGGCCCTTCTCCTTTAGATACCTTCTTACCTTGTCTTTTGGATGACAGCCACTCCTTTGGTGACTGAAGAAAGTACAACTCTATAAGTTCATGGAGCCATCAAAAATAGGACAAGCTGAGCCACTGGAACAAGGATTTGGAAGGATTTTTCAGGGTTAACATTTAGAGTATAATAGAAAAAAAGCTAGCTTCAGTATTGGAGGGACTTGGGGTCAATTTCCTGGCCCTGCTATTTAGTATTAAGTGTGACCTTAGGTTGATGCCTTCCCCTTTCTGAGCCTCAGTTTCCTTCTCTCTAAAACAAAGGGATCAGATGTCATGAGCTCTAAGGTCCCTCTAGCTCCTAAATCTTTTCATCTCATGCACTGCTCCAAAGTTTGATTATAGTCAGAGAAAAAAATGCCTTTGGTTTTTCTAGAATATATTCCTGTCCTATTTGGTAACCTCTCTGCCTAGCTTTGTATTAAATGGGCAGATACAACATCAAAGAGACCATTAGCTCGATAATGCAGGAAGCTGAGAAGCAAAGTGGAGAAATAATAATAGGGATGCTGCTTCCTGGGGAGGAAAAAAATAACTGAGATGGAGTGTCATTTAGCAGCAGTCCTCAGAAGTTTCTGAAGTTCACCCTCCAAGAGGAGGGAAATGGTAAATACCAGCAAGGAAAGGCTAATGACCTCACTAATGATACAGGTACTACTTATACGGCACCTACTATGTGCCAGGTAAGTAGTGTTTATGTAATACCTACTATGTGCCAGGTAATACTGTAGGTAGTATTGATATAGCACCTACTATGTGCTTGCTTTACAAATATTATCTCATTTGATACTCACAACAGCCCTGAGAAGCAGGGGCTATTGTTATCCCCATTTTATAAATAAGGGAATTGAAAGAAGCTGAGTGGCTTACCTAGGGTCACGCAACTAGTAAGTGTGTGAGGCCAGATTTGAACTCTGGTCTTCTTGACTTTAGGCGCAGTGCTCTATCCACTGAACCATCTATCTGCCTCAGATGAATTCCATGAATGAGGAAGAAGGTTCAGAGCTGCTGTCATGAGCAACTAAACCAGCTACAATTCTTCTTCCACGATGATTCTCAGGATGGGATATGGACTTGGGGCACTCCCCAGCATTGCTTGCAGGAGTGGGGAGATAAAGAAATGTTAATGGAGTGAAAAGAAAATGAAAACCAGTTTCACCTCGGAAAGGTGCCAGCCACCAGAAACCTTCAGTAATGGTCTTCAAACAGATAAAGCCACTAGTCAATAGTCATCAGTCAACCGGCATTTATCAGGTGCTTCTTATGTGCCAGGCATTGTGTGAAGCCCTGGGAATACAAAAGAGAAAACTCCATAATCACAGAGGGAGGGCCAGGTGGGGGGGGGAGAGAGAAATGGGAATGGCCACCTGCAAAAGGTAGGTTTTGAGCTGAGCCTTGAATGAAACCAAAGAAAGCAAGAGATGGAGGAGATGGGGCAGAGCAGCAGAGCGTCCCGAGCGTGGGGGGGACAGCAAGTGCACAGGCAGGGACAGGGACTCCTGGTCCATAGCAGAGAATATGCTGATCTGCAGAGCTGGCTGCAGCTGACACCCATCCAACCAAAAGCAGCCTGGGCTAAGAGCCACACCTCAGTGGCTGGGGCCCAGTAATCAGATTGGCCCTTGTGTCAACATCAGGGCCACTGCTTCCTTCCTCCTGCCCCTTCTGTTTGGGCTGTTGTTGTACAGACGTTTCAGTAGTGTTTGACTCTTTGTGATCCCATTTGGGGTTCTCTTGGCAAAGAGACTGGAGTGGTTTGTAATTTCTTTCCCTAGCCCATTTTACAGATGAGGAAACTGAGGCAAGCAGGGTTAAGTGACTTGTCCAGGGTCACATAATTAGGCCAGATTGGAACACATGAAGATGAGGCTTCCTGATTGCAGGCCCAGCACTTTATCCACTGCACCACCCAACTGCCCTCTTTGGGCTGTTAGAAGCGAACAAAAGATATATGATGGATCTAGTGTATTGATAACATTCCATCTTAGCTCTATGCATTTATGCTGACTGTCCCTTATGCCTAAAATGGGGCATACATCCTCGCCTTTGCTTCCTGGCTTCCTTGGCTTCTTACAAGAATGCTCCAATCACACCTTCCTCAGGAGGTCTTTCTCATTCCCCCTTCCCCACTTCAGTAGTTCCTTCTGGGATCACCTTTTCGCCTTTGTGCTCCCAGGGCTTAGCACAGTGCCTGGCACATGGTAAACACTTAATAAATACTTGTTGACTGATGACTGACTAACTGAGAAGGTGCTGGACTAGGTGTCAGAAGATCTGGATTCTGGTTTCAGCTACTCTACTTACTAGTGATGTGATCTTGCAACAAGGATTTAACCAAAGTTAATAAATTGTTGAAGCATTGAGCTGAATAGAAGTTGTATAATGATCTACATCCCCTGCGCCCCCAGAGAGTGAGTATTGGGATCAAACAAGGTGATGTCTGGGGATGGTATGCCATCCCCACACAAATGTTAGGGGCTGTTATTATTTCCTCTCTCCTCTTTGATGACCACAGCATGGGAATCTGGGATACCCTCTACCTTAAAAAAAGAAAAAGAAAAAAAAGAGGAAAAGGCTGATGTAAAAATAAGATGTTCCAGAAACTCTCCAGGGGTTTGAGAAATACTGAGTGAAGCTAGAAAGAGCATCATAATCGGGGGAAGAGTGAAAACCCACCAATCCGGAAATGAAAGAGGACTTTGAAATTGCTAGAACTCCTTTATCATGCATAGTAAGGAATGGCTATCAATAATTCTAGAAGCAGTGCTCACAGAAGCACTTCATGACAGCAGGAGTTGGCTTATTCCTCTCTGCTATTCCGGCGAGAAAGCACGCTACCATATGATCTGTCCGTGAGTCGTCTAACAGGAAGGGAAATATATTGTTTGACCACCAGATGGTACCAGAGATAACAGATTGACGTCTATTCAACTCTACCCCACCCACAACTTATTCCAGGTTTCCCGGCAGTCTAATGGCCGTGTTCTGGAATATTTTCAGAAATTCTCAAAAAAGATAAAAAAAATCTCCCTCTCAACTAGCTTGTCAAGTTCTTCACAATGAAGCCATGGTCTGGCTTCCCCACCATCTGTCATGCCCTTCAAATGCATAGAATTTGACATCTTACTATTAAAAGCCATGGGATTTATTGCCACAGGCAGATAGTATGGTGAAGAATAAATAGAACTTCCCTTAGCAGGTTGCACAAATGTCCCAGCTGGGCTTGATTTTTCCATTTCTCCAGTGTCTTCCACCAAACTAGCCCAAGGGGACACTGAAAGGAAAGGAAGGGAGCAGACCTAATGCACTCTGAGGGAAAAAGGGAGAAAGAAACAGTGACCCAGAAGTCTCCTTGCTCTCACCATTGCGTCTCAGTCTCAGGGCATCTCCTAGTTTGCCCTGCTACAGTCTCCACCGTGCATCTTGCAGTCAGGTGCCTCTGCATCCTCCAATTTGCCACTTCCGGTTTGTGCCAAGTCTACAAATGGCTCCATAAAGTGATCTCTCTTTGGCTCTGATTTCTTCTGAAGCATGCCCCTCTCCCGTTTCTTGCTCTACAGCAGGGCAGGCTTGGATGGCTTCCAATTCCTCCTCTTTTTGTAGTCCACAAAAGTCTTTTCAAGAGTTAAAAAAGAAAGTTACATGATAACTTTATTACATGGAATAGCAAGTTGCACGTAATCAATTTGCAGTTTTATGTACTGTAGTCTTTTTTTCTATTTTACTATGTTACGGAAATGCTTGTTTTATTTAAGTTCAGAATAAAATAAATTTTTTTAAAAAAGAAAATGGCAGACACCATTGGCAAGCATATTTCTCTCTGTTTTATGCATTATTTGAAAGCAGCAGAGAAGTTGCTGAACAAGGTTATCTTTTGTTGTATTTTTCAAGGAATCAAAAATTATTTTTAACATATGTGTTTGCAACACTTTCTTGGAGAAGTAAATTGGCATTTAATTTTTTAAAAAAGAGTAAAGAGATGGGAAACCTCAGCTCTTGGAATTCCATGCCTGCATACATTTTCTAGCTTCAGTTTTTGTTATTCTTTTACCTGCATTGTAGAAGTCCTAGAGAGGCCAAACTCTATTTATACAAACCATGTGTCTGCCTCATTTAGCTACATCCACAAGAGGACAAAGAAACCTGAAGAGCAAGAGGGGCATGACTCACTGAATAGATATTACACAGACTTTCAAGATTGCCCCTGCAAACACACATCCTCCTTTAGCAAAGGGACTTGGGAGTAGAAGATAAAAAGGAACCTAGAAAATACAATAATGGGAGGGAAAGTCACCAGGGCTCTAAGGACAGGCCATAGAGGACTAGAAAGGAAATCGAGGCAAATCGCCCTCCTAGAAGACAAATGGAGATCCTGTATGAGAGAAAGAGAAAAGTACAATCTTGAAGAGGAAAAGTTCACAAAACCCCAACCTACAATACCTGCCTTCCCCTCTCCAGTCCTTGAATCAGAGAACTTCTTCCTATTTATTGCCTGAGTCTTTCACTCTCTTATCCCCTGCTTCTATTTAACCCTGCCAGGAAGCTTAAGAACGCAGCCCAGAGGGCTGGATGTTTCTGACCTTCTGTTCTCCCCTCTCACCATTTCTTTTCTTTCTTAAGTCTTTATATGTGATAAAAAAAAAATTGGCCAATATAAATTTAAGGTGTTTGTTAGTTTATTATTCAGATTTGTAGATGGGGGAGGGACAGAGAGGCATGTAGAATTCTTTGTTCAAGAGAGATGATTCCTGATTTTAGAGACAAAATATTTGGTTCAGACTAAAATATCTAGACCTAGGACCTGGGGCCATTAAGATGAAGTTGGGAGATCAATATCAGACTTTTACAAATCTGGCAAAACAATCTGAGGTCCACACACCTCTAGTCTCTCTCTCTCTCTCTCTCTCTCTCTCTCTCTCTCTCTCTCTCTCTCTCTCTCTCTCTCACACACACACACACACACACACACACACACATACACACCCCAATAAAAATGCTACAGGAGCATGCTAAAGTGAGCAGAGGAAGCATCTCTCTCTGCTCACAAATCAAAGTGAGCTAGGATAGATACAGTTGCTAAGGAAGGCGGAATATGAAGGGAAAATGAGTTCCTTAGGCATGCTCAGGTCTTACAGGAAATGCTTAAGGCATGATTGATTAGCAGTGCCCCTTGAGGGTTATACCTGAAAATCAAAAGACCTAGGTTCAAATCCCAACAAGGTCCTTGGGAATGAATAAATGACTCTACTGTTCTCTCTAACCAGATCAAAAGCTCCATGAGAACAGAGACAATGTTTCCTCTAAACTTTGCATATCCTCTAGCTCCTAGTACGGGACTCTGCATGTAGGAGGTGCTTAGTAAATGGTTGTGGAAAGAGGGAATGCTTTTGTTTTCCAACGAATCATGAAGTCAGTGACAAAAATCACGTGAAAGTCCATTCATTCAGTCCTGCTGCCAATCATACAATCAACGATACAGAGTTTACTATGCTCAGTTTATTATGCTCAGAATGTAAGCTACATTGAATAACTACCAAAAAGTCAGTGAACCTCAGTCTTCAGTTTTAAGATACATTCTGTGGGTTTGGGTTACTTAAGCAGGATAGAGACAATGTAATTTCAAAGAATTGTAAGGGAAGACAATGATTTCCATGCCAAAGGACAGATAGTGAAAGGGAGGTTCTTTGTCAGGTAAAACAGAAAACTGAGCAGTTAATACCAAAGTTAGAGTTGATGTGTCAGGCTTGATTTTATGAACTAGCTCAGTACATGATGTCTTATCTTAAGTAAATGGCAGGAAAAAAAAAAACTAAATCAGAAATTCTCTGTTTACCTTCCATGAGGAGCTGGATTTCAGCTAACGTTTGCACTTGCCTCCAGTGCCTAGCACAGGACTCCAAACACTTTAGCCACTCAGCAAATGGTTGTGTAACCAATAAAGAAATATACTTCTCTTCCTCAACCAGATTGTAAGTTCTTCGTGGGCATATACTCTATAGTGGGTAGTACAATGCCTTGTAGAGACTATCCCCGCAATATGGATTCATTGGTTATTCCAGGAGCCAAAGTGCCTGTAACTGACAAACGCCACTCCCTTTATATACACCCCAAAGTAAGGCGGTCAGGTTCAGTAGCATCTTCATGAAAGGATAAGGCGCTCTGCCATTCTAGCCGCGGGTGTGGTGCCACCATTTTGTTTCAGAAAGAGGATAAAAACGGAAACTTTCAAAAATTCAAAATAAGATTTTTCAAATACAGAAAGCACCATTGCTTGTAGCAGTAATAAAGGAAATTTCTCCCTAAAAATAAATAAATAAATGAAAGATGAAAATAAATAAAAATAAATTCAAAAAATTTATCCCAAGAGTCACTACCACTTATAAGGGATGACTGGGATTGGAAATGTTTAGCTAAGCAGGTGAATTGTCTACTGTCTCTTTGGCTCCTATTCTCCTTTGGGTGCAGCCATTCTTTCTCAGCTCCTCATTTCAGGTATGACTCTCTCTAGTCACTGCCCAGAGCTCTACCCCTGGGGAGATATTTCCTTGAAGGAGACTAGAGTGAGAAAATACATCTGAGGCAAGTGAGGCACTATCTCTGAAAGAACAATTACAACTCTCCACTTAAAAAGATTTCTCTCCCCCTACCCCAATACCATCACTAGCTTATTCTTTGCTCTGGTGAATTGAGGAACAATCTGGTCTCGTTTTAATCTCTGCTTTCCAGGACTTTAATAACATTCTTTCCATAAAAATCTTGATTCATTTCAGCCACAGCCAGACAACCAGGCAAATCAGAAAGAGAATGTCTGACTGTCCATTTCTACCTCCCTGTCTATCTATCTCTGATTCTCTCTGTCTCTGTATCTCTCATATTTAAACTATGAACTAGGTGAACAGTAATAAGAAAATACAATCTTTATAGAAAAAGAGATAAATTTCAGAATGCATGCACTCTGTCTGGGAGGGAGAGACAGGAAGATAAGAAAGAGAAAGGAGAGGGGCCATCTTCAGCAACCAGAAACAGTTGCATTCCATCCTGTTTCTGCGTCCAGGTGACCAAGCAATAGCTGTGGCCTGCTGACCCAAGGCAAATGCTTGAATTGGGGGAGGGACAGTAGAACAGTAGAGCCCTAGCCAAAATCCAGAACCTCAGCACAGAGCTCCGCAATGGGACAGTGTGGCCCCACTGAAGGCACTGCCTTAAGGCACTGAGACTAATGATGGCCTTAGACCTGGGGGAAGGGAAAAACAGGTATCCCTTGACTCCTCATGGGCTCAGATGTGTAAGTAAAATGGTCCTATGTCTCCAAGTATTGGGACCCTTCAGACCAGTAAGGGGAGTTTATGGCTAGTCTTGGGGGCAAGACAGGTATGAAAGTGCCCAGATTCTATCTCAGTCGGGGAAATGAGACAGAGAAGTATGAGGTCTCTAAAGTTTACTCTTAGGACCCTTTGTATGTAAAGGTAGCCTCTTATAAAGGAGTAGAGGTGACTTAATTTTCCATCCTACTCAGAGGTTTAGAGTTGGAATCAATAACTCCAGGGATTTGGTATGCGTACCCACGTACAGACATAGCATGTGCAGACATGTACACGTGCAGATGTACACGTACAGACATAGGCTCAAACATACATACAAGCATACACATAGTCAAATCAATTAGAGATGGAGACAGAAGGACAAAAACAGAGAAAGACAGAGAGACAAAGAGAGATAGAGAAATGAGAAAAGAGCCAGAGGCAGAAATAGGTGCATTTTGGGGGTAATTTCTGGTTATGTACTATAGAATGTAAGCAGTGTAGCAGAGCAAACACAGAATTAGCCCCAAAGCCAGAAAGATCTAGGTTTGACTCCTACTTCTGATCTTAGCTGTATCACCTTAAGTAAGTGCCTTAATTTCTCAATGCCCTATGTAACTGTCTAAGACTATACGTCTTCACCACAATGGTGATCTGCATTGGTAGGGGATCTCACCCAGGACTCCCCTATGCTAATGAGATCATAGGTCCAATCTCTATCTCACAGCCTTATTCCATAATATAGCAGCTGGACTACTTAAAACACAGAGAGAAAGTTAGCAGGTGCTGAGTCTATAAGGCCTTTGGAGAGAGGGAGAGGAAGTAGAAGGGAGGAACATGGTGATCCCTGAGTGTACATTTTGGCACTGCTGGCCAAGCACTAGTTGATAACACATACACTCCCATACTTCTTCAGAACACTGAAAGAACAGTCAGAGGATATGAGTTCTGTCCTCTGCTCTTTCCCTGATTCCCTGTGGTCACGTTGACTAAGTTTAGCAAAACGTGTTTTCCTCCTCTATAAAATGGATGTCACCTAGCAGCCTTTCAGAGAGGTATCATGTAGGAAAACGATATTGTTGCTCTGTGATGACCTTTTAACTCGCGTAAAGTCTGGAGTTGTACTGCCATCTCTGTGCTTTTTGTTTGTTTGATTTTGTTTTGTTTTTGCCACAGCTGTGCGCCAGACAAAGATGTAAGCAAA